GAGTGTGCCGATATGTGAGTACTCAATTTAGTTTCTTGAGTGTGTTTTATGATTGTTATGTTGAGGTAAGGACAGTTTTAGGTTGATCCATCTGAAATGGATCAAAATTTCACTGTCTAATAAAAAGTAACTGTACGGACTTTTCCGACCCTGTTTTTAACGGGGTTCGCGTATTTTGGGTATTTTGAGACCTAAGTATGGGGACGTTCTTATTTTCTAGAGTGGGGGGGTATTTTGGTAGTGGCCTTAAGGCTGTAACGGGTTTTTAGTCTCATGTCCCAAGTGAACCGGATTGGCTCCGACCGTTCGAGGTAGAAAAACACAAAAGATAGTGTCCCTGACTCTTGAGCCAATGGTTATATGGCCTATTTTTCTTCAACCTCATATGTGACGTAAGTAGGCGACTGTTACCTAGTGTTTTTATGGCGCTCCTGGGTGTTTTTACGACATCATGACTACGGAGTCGAACCCACTTGACACAGCTCCGGGCTACATGCCCATTCTAGAGTACCGGTGATACGGTTCAGCGGGAACGTGTAAAACTTCCGGTTGTACCGTGATAGCTTTTTGAGAAAACTCGAGAAAATTTCCTGGTACGCTCTCCGAACGATTCTTAGCTAACTGAGTAAGGGGGGGGGGGGTAACTAGGGGGACAAAAAAAACGAGCGAAAGACAAAAAGCGAAACAAAAACCGAAAAAGAATAGAAAAAGGAACAAAAACCATAAAAAAAATGACAGTGACTTTGACACCAGATTAGTTGGATCAAACCTTTATATTAATTAAATAGTGTACCGATACTTTTTTTATAAGACCGATCGTTTCGATCAATTCAGCAAATTAAAAAGTTGCCCGAGTGTGGGGCGTTGTTAAGGGTTTTCAGATAGCTTGCAACTTAGCTGGACCACTAGGAGACTTAATTGGAAGAGGTGACCAGTCGAGAAGGAAAGTGGTTCACAGGGACTTAGCTGGACCATAAGGAGACTTCACTGGAACAGGTGACCAGTCGAGTAGGAAAGTGGTTCACAGTGACTTAGCTGGGCCATTAGGAGACTTGACTGGAACAGGTGACCATTCAAGTTGGAAAGTGGTGCTGGTGATCAGGTGTAGGACAAGTCAAGGAGACAACCAGCACGGAATCAGAACAACAAGAGAGGACGAGGGTGTTCTCAAGTTGGTCAAACGGGTATCGTTAAAATCCACATTACATTATAGGAGATAAATGTAAAATTGGATGAGCGGAACCCCACTGTTTTGAGGAACGTTTTTACTCAAGCAGAGCCTGGAAACAGGTTCTACGGTTTTCTCTTAAGAGGTTTAGCAACCGGCGCTTAAATTAATTTTCGGATTAAGAGGGGGGCTAAAAGAGGGGGAGGTTAGAAGGGGGGCTGATTATGTTAGAGGTTGGCGGTTGTAATTTGGGGGACACATTAGAGTAACTAATTGATCGATATTGTCAATTTAGTTACATTAGAATCTTACACGCGTTGTTTATAAGAAGCGGATGTCCAGATTGAAGATCGAATTAAGGTAACCCAGGTCGGATCGGGTCGGGGGAACGGAAGTAGACAGTTTTTATGATACCCCCTTAAGATTGCTAGCAGGGGGAAGAAAACGCGTGGCAATCAGGTACCAGACGTTTTTTTTCAAATAGAAGGTTGACACAAGTCACTTTGGAATTTTAGGTGGGTTTATTTCTCTGTCTTTATTATTTTTTCACTTTTTTGGTAAAAAGTTGTATGCAAAATAATAAAATGGAGATTAAATATTAAAAGGGAGATAATAAAATATTAAAAGGGAGATTGGCAAAATATTAGAAGGGAGATAAATATAGAGGGGTAATTCTAATTTTTGGCCAGTAAGATTGGGTTTTTTGGGGAAAATTTTTACTAGAGCTCAAGTGGTGGTACCAGGTACAGTGGTTCAAGAGTCCCGACAACGAAAGAGAAGAGTTCCCACTATCCCAACACTTGGCAGAGAAGTCTCGGGACAGTTACGAAGAGTCTTGGGACAGCGGTCTTGGGACAGTGCGGCCTTGGGACAGTACAGTCTTGGGACAGTAGTCTTGGGACAGTAGTCTTGGGACAGCACAGTCTTGGGACGGTGGTCTTGGGACAGCAGTCTTGGGACAGTGGTCTTGGGACAGTAGTCTTGGGACAGTACATCCTTGGGACAGTAGTCTTGGGACGGTGGTCTTGGGACAGTACAGTCTTGGGACAGTAGTCTTGTGACAGTGCAGTCTTGGGACGGTGGTCTTGAGACAGTGCAGTCTTGGGACAGTGGTCTTGGGACAGGCAGTCTTGGGACAGGCAGTCTTGGGACAGTGGTCTTGAGACAGTGGTCTTGGACAGCAGTCTTGGGACAGTGCAGTCTTGAGACACGCAGTCTTGGGACAGTGGTCTTGGGACAGGCAACCTTGGGACAGTGGTCTTGGGACAGCAGTCTTGGGATAGTACAGTCTTGGGACAGTAGTCTTGGGACAGTACCGAAAAGGTCCTGGGACAATACCAAGAAGTCCTGGGACAGTACTTAAGAGTCTTGGGACAGCACCAGAGAAACTTGGGACAGTACATATAATTCTTGGGACAGTACCAGGAAGTCTTGCGACGGTACAAAAAAATTGTGTGACGATACTAAAAGGTTTTGGGACAGTGCGAAATAGCTCAACGATCAAATAAAAGCAAAAAGACCTGGCCGAACGATTAAATTGCGAAAGATCCATTTTATTAGGATCTTGAATTGATAACTTTTCTTATTCTGTAAAGGAAGTAGGAACGTTTTTTTATTTTTAAAATTTTGATCCATTTAATAGAATTTTGTAAATAATAATATTGTAAATAGAAGCAATTGTAAATAAAAATCATGAGGCGGAGTAGGGTACCGATAGCAGAAAGAAGAATAAAAGAGTCAAAGACAAATCATAACTCGTCGCAACGAAAGGTAACACCGTTTGACCCAAGATTAACTAGAAAAAACTTTTCAGTGAGCATGGTCAACACACGAAGCGCAAAAGAGAAGAAGATGAAAATGAGCACTGAGGAGGGATGAACGGAACCTGCTATAGAAGTTGATCTTGAGACAACAGATCAGAGTGTTGATGAGGTGGAGAAGAAGACAACGGAGTCGACACCGATGCCGAATGCAGAAGAACAAAAGCAAAAGACGATGGAATTCTCGCCGACAGACGCTGTGGAGGACACGACGGGTAACACGCCAGAAACCATAAAGACGAGTCTCAAACGAAAAGAACGTCATTCACAGAGAGGTTCGCAATGATGGTCGGAATAAAATCAAGAGACATAGTGGAGGAAGAACCGAAAGCCGAGAAAGACAAAACGTTTGGAACAGTTTCCACGATAACAACAGAGGCCAACCAAGACGACGATCAGGTCAAACATAGGGCAACAGCTAGTCATGGGGCAACAGTTGACCATGAAACAACAACTCCTCTTGAGCTGGGCGATTTAATGGCGAAGTTAGATCAGATCGACAAAAAACTTAAGTGCAGCGAGGAGGATCTGCGTGTGCTAGGCAGAACACCAATAATATCCCTAAACCTGTGGGAACGCAACCTGTGGATGAGCTTTCTCGTGGTAGAAAACCTAGATGAGTCTGACCAATTCATTTTGGGCAGAGACTTCATCAGGAACTTCGACGTAACTATTGATTTAAACAATGCTATGTTCAGGATACGGAACCCGGATAGGAGGTACGCAATTAAACTGGTAAATTTAATAATGGTGAATGAAAATAAAGCACCGGTATTCTTGAGTAGGAGGTTGAGGCTGAAAGCGAACGAAGCGGCAATTGTAAGCTTGCGAATGAAAAACTATAATGAACTACGTGACTTTAAGCAAGTATGCATAGTACCAAATCCTAATAGTCAAAGTGCTGCTGTTTTAGGAAGATCCTTCTCGATAACCAAGAGCAGTCTCTGCGTCAGTGTCTTGTTGAATACTCTTGATATACCCATCACGATACAGAGGGGTAGAAAGCTGGGATATGCTTTACCCCTGAAACCTCGATTCGAAATGACTGAAAATCCAAAACAGAATGAAGTTGTTGATTGTCGAAATCATAAAGACAATTTTAGTATCTTGAGACGATTGTAGAAAATAAAAGGTTCATCAGGTCTTGTAAAATCACTTAAGTCAGAGACAGACTATGGAATTTCGAGCTGTTCGAGTTTTCCGGAAAGACCCACACTAGATGAAATGCAGAGGGATAAACCGGTTCTACCGTAACATTTAAGGGGCAAGATAACGGACGAACAGCTCGAAGCTCAAGGATGTACAAAAGCGGAATGAGGATGTTTTTTCGAAACATAAGGCAGATATTGGATGTTGTAACTTCGTTGAACATAAAATAGAGCTTGAGGAGTCTGCGGTACCGCACAGGGAGGGGGCGAGGCGCATGACCCCACGCAAATCGGATGCATGTAGAAAAGAAATATAGACCTTACTAGAGTATGATATGATAGAACCATCCAAATCACCGTGGGCGTGTGGAGTAGTGATGGCCAAAAAGAAAAGCGACCAATTGAGGTTTTGTTGTGACTTTCGGTATCTGAACTCCGTCACGGTGAGGGATGCCTATCCCATACATAGAACTGATGAGAGCCTCTCGAAGTTAGGTGATGCAAATTTTTTACGACTCTTGATTTAGGATCAGCTTTATGGCTGGTCCCACTGAGCAAGCAGGACAGGGAAAAAACGGGGTTCGCCTGCGAGCTAGGGATTTTTCAATGGAAACGGATGCCATTTGGTCTTTGCAATGCTACGGCCACATTTCAACGGTTGATGGCACACGCATTGATAGGCGCGACAAAGAAATATGGCAATCTGGTAATGTGCAACGTGGATGACGTGGTAATAGCGACGCCTACACTGGAAGACCACATCGAGCGACTAGACAAGGTGTTTGCATGCATGAAGAGGTCGGGATTAAAGTGCAAACCATCAAAGTGCGAGATACTCAAGGACTCGATAAAATATTTGGAAGGATGGTGGACAGACACGGCATCAGACCAGACCCAGATGCAGTAGAAGCGGTTCTGACCTGGAAATGGCCAAGAACGAAACATCAGTTGATGAGCTTCCTGGGTTTTGCGAACTATTACAGGGAGTTCATCGAGGGCTACGCGGACAATATATACCCGATGCAACAACTAATGAGGCACAAAGGCAAGAAGTTCACGTGGAGCAACGCGGCGGAAGAGTCATTCCAGAGAATAAAGAAAGAGTTGTGCGAGGTACCGGTGCTAGGGATGCCAGCGGAAAAAGGAATGTACGTGCTGGACACGGATGCATCAAGAACCGGAATGGAATGGGAAGACAGTCTTAAGACCAAAAGCGCATGGGAATAAAGTCTTGAGTGATACGGAAATGAAGTACGGGGCGCCGAAAGCAGAGATGTTTGCGGTGGTTACCTTTGTCGAAAAATATAGGGCATACCTAGGCAGCGAGCCATTCAAGCTGCGAGTCGACAACAGGGCACTCAGCTGGCTAAAAACGTACTCAATGGACCAATGCTACATTGGAAGGTGGATAGTTCGCCTGGACGGATACAACATGATAATTGAGCATAGGACGCGAGACAAACATCAAAATGCTGATAGCTTGAGTAAGAAGACGGAGTTCTACGAGAGACAGGAACAGAGGGAGGCGGATAGGCCAGAAATCCAAGATGGCTTCTCCTTCATGGATAAGGAAATGTATGATAGTCTTCCACTCACGAGATGGCTCGACAAGTCAGGCAAATCGATAGAAGATCACCCCGAATTTCCAAAAGGGCGTCCAAAGAAAACAAAATTGAAGAAGACCCAAGGGATGCCGATAGGGATAATGCTCAAGTCAAAAATTGTGAAGGAGACGCTCAAGGCAAAAAGCTATGATCTCAACCAGGTAGAAACAGGAGATGCACAGATAGATGAAGACTTGATGAGATTACTCGGGAAACTGGCAGACGATAAACCCGTGATCAAAGAAAAGGGTAAGGAGGAACCGGAAGCTACGATATTGAGAACGAATGAAGCGGGTGATGGTGAGGACTCCTTAAAAGAAAAATCTGACGGGAAAGAAGTCGTGCAGTCATTGGTTGATAAAATCCCCGATGATATACTTGAGCGGACTCGGGTTATGAAGAAGAAAGTGGCATGTAAGGAGGAGGCTGAACACCTTGGACTAGGACAAGAGAACGGGGAGTGGCCCACAGTGGAAGAAGGTGCTGGAGAAGAAAAATTGTCCGGGGAGTGTGAAGCGTGGGAGGAAGATTCGGAGAAGAGCAGCGATGACCAAGATAGTCTATGCATGATACTGGCGGAAGAGAAGATGAGACACCGCAACAGGGAGACGCTCAAGGCAACTTGGATCAGCAGGAAGTGCAAGGAGGTGAAGAACTTGAGAAAAATTGCAGTGTCGAGGAAACCATTTAGGGAACTATCGTGCAACTCAATTGTCAGAACAAATCTGGTGCCAGAAGATGACAGGAAGGTTATGAGGAGGATAGTATGCTAAAAGCTGAAGGATGACATCCGCAACCCTGGAGAAATGAATGGTCAGATAATGGCACTAAAAGAACACGTCAAGGTGAGATATAGGCTGTCGGATCTAATACGGGCCCAAAAGAATGACAAGATGACAAGTAACCTCTCCAAATGGATCCGGACGGGGTCCAAAGGGAAGGGGGACCTGGAAGAAGACAGCTACAAGATCTTGAGCCAGTTCTACAAAAACAGAAAAGTTTTACTCTATCACACAGCTGATGGAGCGGTAGCATGCAAGAGAAAAGATGAGGAGAAGATATTGCACAAGCATAACCTCATCATACTGCCACAGTTGTATCAGACGGAAGTGTTATTTAGATCGCATGATCAAATGGGGCTCCAGGGGATAGACAAGGTGCAACAAAGAATACTTCACAGGTTTGACTGGCTAGGATTAAGGAAAGCATGCGAGAGATGGGTGAATGCATGCCTGGCATGCCTGCAAGTGAAAGATCCAAGGAAGATGAAGTTCCCACTCAAGTCCGTTGAAAGCTCGGAATTTAACGAGGTTATGCAGATAGACCATCAAAAGATCTGTATGACAGAATCGGGATATAACCAGATACTGGTCATAATAGATCATTTCACAAAGTTGGCAGAAGCGGTGCCGTGTCAGACAGCCTCGGCAGAGGAGACTTGTGACCACCTGATAACACATTGGATATCACGGTATGGTTGTTCCATGACATTTCAGTCGGACAATGGCAAAGCCTTCGTTGGGGACCTGACGAAAGAATTGACGAAGAGGTCACACATTGCTCAAGTGCATTCAACGACCTATCATTCCTAGGCCAACGGGTTAGTGGAGAGACAGAACAGAACGTTGGTGAACATGCTGAGGGTATACTGCTCAAGATATATGACAGACTGGGATAAATATCTGCCGCAATCGGTAGGGGCCTACAACACTCAACAACAGGAATCAGTACCTTCATGATGTTGACGGGCAGGGAAAGAACGATGCCTCTAACATTCTGTTACCCAGAATACGAAGGGAAAAAGACATCGCCTCAAGCTTATGTGAAAGAAGCGGTTAAGAGACAGCAGGAACTAATTGAGTTCTGCAGGAGGAACAAAGCGCAAGCACAAAGGAGACAGCGGAAGAAATACGATGAGAAAATACTGCAAGCGAAACCATATGCAATGGGCCAATACGTCTGGGTCTTCCAGAATATTATACCTCCCAAAGGGACAAAGAAACTACCTAAGAAACGGAGAGGACCGTTCATGATAACGGAAGTGCACCAGCAAGGACGGTTCTACCGCTTGAGTACGGGGCGTGCAGCGCATTATGAAATCTTGAAACCACATGTCACATCCCCAGAAGACTGGTGCATCCCACCGAATATGGAGGGACTCGAGTACCTATTGGTGGAGCCAGCTTGCGAGGTGAATGAAAAGGGCACCAGAAAGAAAAATGATGGCAACGAGGACTTGAATTTGGATGATAATGAAAAGATAGAAGCGGACTCAGAGGCGGAATCCTTTGTGGAAGAAGACTGGAACGATTCGGAGCAGGACGAGGTGCCAAAATGGACGGAATCAGACTTGCCGATAACAGCAGGAACCAGGAGTGGTAATCGCAAACGGACAATCATGAGGTACAATAGGTAAGGGGATGACTTCTTGATTGACAAGATACAGCCTGATGAATTGAGCGACGAGTTACTGAGTGTAGGCGAATTGGTGGCAGACGATGAATGGCAAATCATCAACGACAGCGAACATTACCCAAAGGAAGACTACACCACACCAGAACAAGAAACAGATCTGGAGCAGAGCGAGATAGAGAGGAGGGAGAACACAAACTTGAGAATACTAGAGTGGATGCGTGATGTCAAGAGCAAACGAGATGAAGAGCAAAGCATCCAGCAGGTCGAAGTGTCAGCAGAAAAACACATGAAAATGGGAGATCCCCTCTTCGGTTGGACAGCAACCGACAGGCCGCTCGAGATACCGCCAGATCATTTAGAACCAGCATCATCGACGGGGACGTCGATAAATATTTTTGTCCGGGGAGTGGGGGTAGGACTTACCCACACCAAAAATTTGATGATAAAGAAACTCAGAGAAGTGAGAGAGACCAGTGGGCTAGAACTGGACGAGGAAGAGGCCGAGCCTACCATAGGACGAAACATCAAAACAAAATTTGAAATACCCAACGAATACTCGGAGAACATCCTGATAACGGACAGCGACTTCATTTTGTCAGACAGGACTAGCGCGATCTGTATAACGGCGGACATGAGCTTCAAATCGAGGCTAGAGGCCGACTTCAAGAGAGAATATTAGAACGTGGAGTTTCTATTCAGACAGAGACCGGGGCTGGGAGGAATGGCTGCGCTTTCCCCATCAGTTGCACAAGTCCCGGGCAAATACCTGTGCTTTCTGGCAACGAGGGTCAATGAAAGCAATACGATAGATCCTGAGCACGTGATGTTAGCACTAACAAGGCTGCGAGACTTCATGATCGAAAGAGGAATAATAGAGGTCTCGATGCCGGTCTACGACCCGAACAGGGGCAAGTTGAGCCCAAGGGAACTGTACGCTATCCTACACGTGGTCTTCGCAGAAACAGAAATAATGGTACTCCTACACAGGAAATACTACTTGAGCATCGCCTGAGCTACGGGTGGACAAGGGAGGTCTTGAGTTAGGGGTACACGGGGATCTCGAGTAGGATCATACGGGGATCTCGGAGCAGGTAGATGGGTTTTAACGTAATTGGCATGACAATTATATTTTAAAGAGTTGACGGTGCTAAAACATTAAATGAATCTGCATGCTCTTAAAAAACATCCAATTGAACTATTTTAGTAAAACAAATGGAGGGATAATGTTTTAACCACAATCTGGGGGGGGGGGGGTTTAGGTAAGGAACATAACACCTTAGTCTAAAAACTAATTTTATTTTCAGATTATTTTGTAAAAAATTGAGTTGACGACCTGGCCTCACTCACTTGAAAAGAGAAAGAAAGGTCTTGAATAAGTTCACGATCAAGCAACACTCGAAGGGAGCATTTCTCAAATTCTCAAGTTGGTAAGGCAATTCTCAAGTTGGTAAGGCAATTTTCAAGTTGGTAAGGCAATTCTCAAGTTGGTTCACAAGGTAATTCTCGAGTTGGTTAACACGTGAGATAATCTAAAGATTGTGACAATGGCAGATCGTTTTTGGAAATCTATGCCTGCGGCACTCAAGAGACCCACGCTCGATGAGCTGTACAAACGCTTGAGGGATCTGGACTACACCCAGATCGATGAGAGGATGGCGGTGATGTTGAATGCCATCCTGCAGTTAGAGGCGCAGGGGGAATGCAGAAAATCAGCGACAGAAGCTGTTTTGATGGTTGGCTACACGAGGGAAGGGATATCCAATCAAGAACAGACTAGATGGCTGTCCTGGAATGTGGACTGAGGCGTGAGAGGGTTCGACTTGACGAGGAATCCCGGCCTGAATAACAACACAGAATATGGTGCCGGAGAATTTCCACTTCCCGCCAGACCGCCAGCAGGGCTCGCGGCTCAACATACGAGCAGGCCGTCGTCCATGATACGGTCTCAACAGACAGAGGAGGCATACCCGGACCTCAGCAGACTGAAGAGGGAACTAGAGAGGGCACAGAGGGAGAGGGACAAGGCAAACCTCGACAGATTAGCGCGAAGCTTGGGAGGTACCAGGCAAACCTGGGAAGAGAACAGGCGGTCCTCGAGAGAAATCAGGCGTGGAGTGATCTCAGCATGCTCAGGGCGGAGTACCTGCAAGAACAGAGGGTCCGATAGAACGAGGCGAACTGCGAGCAGCTGATGTCGGAAATGGAGAA